CATGCAGTGAATGTCTCTTCTCCTGGGCTCTGCTTTATTACAGCAATTCCCTACGTCCATTTCACCAAGTTCTGGAAGACAAAGTGTTTAAATAAAGTAAGTCCTACTGCCTGTTCTTTCAGGGTTTCTATTGATTGTGACTTAATCTCTTGAAGCAAATTGATGGTTTAATATTAAGCTGAAATACCAGGAGTCAGCAAAGAGATCAGAGAATTGAGCAAAAAATAAAATTGTCCAAAGTGGAATTTTTCCAGCTCTTCAAGGTGGTTTGTTTGGTCCAGGCATATTTGTTCTTTCAGGTAGTGAGATATACAAGATACTAGTAAATACCTTCATAAAGACTAAGAAAACCAGAGTGTCTAAACATATTGAATTGGAAAAGAACCTGAACCCAAGCAGAGGTGGGGGAGGGTCCCTGCTTACCTTCCCCCAATTCATCCAGATGCCTCTTTAGCTCCTGATCAGGCGCTGCCCCGCATTGCTTGGTTGGGGTGAACTCTTGCTTCCCTCTGACCTGGCACTGGGTACATCATCTCTACCTCAGGCAGCAGGGCTTGTAGCTTTGTGACTTCACGTACAGTTCAACAGTGTACCCTTATCCCATTCCGCTGCTGCCCCCAGCCACAGGCTAACTGCCCCTGGGAGACAGCTGGTGCTGGTGAAGAGCCACAGATATTGGGGTCAGTTGCCCCAGGGTTTGAATTGTGACCCTGTCATTTAGTGAAAGACCTTGGGCAAGTATTTGATTTCTTTGAGTGTCAGTTTTCTTGCTCCCTAAGGATCATACTTACACTACAGTAGATAGTGACTAGCTATTCACCAAATCTGCCTCTCTTCCTCCAGGCCACACAGCAAAGGGACATTTCCAGCCTCCTTTCCAGTCAGACATGGTCATGAGACTGAGTTCTACTAAAAGGAAAGGCCTGGCCCATAAAAGCCTCGCTCCTGACAGCATCTTCTCTTTCCCAGTCCAATCAGTGTCTAGAGAGGGTGGGGAGGCTCACTGAGCCCATCCTGGGCAGAGCCTACAATGTAGAAAGGAACTTGGACTCTGGACTAAACAACTAGGAGCACGTGCAGTGGACCATGTGAGAGCTGAATGGATTGACCTGTGGCAAGTGTGTCACTCTTTGGAAATGTGGCCCCTAGGAGCTCCTGTAGCAACCTCCATGGAGCCTCCCCTGGTGGTTCCGGAGCCCATCCTCGCGCTGCTACTCTACGTGCCCGGGTTCAGCCTCCTTGTCCTGCACCTGCGCCTTCCAATTCAGCGGTGCACTGCTGGCAGCGTTGTTCGCAGGTTGGTGGTGCCGAACGTCCGGTGCTGGGGCTGGCCAGCAGGACTGCAGACTCAGGGATCACCGTCTCAGGGTCCTCATTCCCAACTACCTGACACCTTTCAACCACAACATAGTCAACCTGCTCCCCAGCTATAGCACCTTCCTGGCCATTTTCTATCCAGGATGTTGCATAGCCTCTTACCCTTGGAGTCCAGAGACTCTAGTCTCTGTGAAGGTGACACATGCCTACTGGGTCTTAGAACTGCTGTGGTCACTATTCGTGCCTTTCATGGTGTATCAAGTGGCTGTGTCCTGCTCATCACCAGCTGGGGGAAGGGAATGAGGAGTTCCTTCCGTGTACAATACCATCCATGCTTTTGTTCCGGCCCTCCGGTCCAGTTTAAGAACCCATTGTGGCCCTCGAGTCAAAAAGTTTCCTCACCCCTGCTCTAGTCTCTGTGAAGGTGTCACATGCCTACTGGGTCTCAGAACTGCTGTGGTCACTATTCATGCCTTTCATGGTGTATCAAATGGCTGTGTCCTGCTCATCACCAGCTGGGGGAGGGGAATGAGGAGTTCCTTCCATGTACAACAGCTAGTGGCCAAAGAATTGGGCCAGATGGGGACACGACTCACTCTAGCATTCAGAACAGAGTTCCTGAAGCGACAAAGACACCCTAGACTGCGGCCCCAGTCAGCCAGGACTGGTTGTGTAGACTTGACCTTCACCAATATACTTGAGGGAGTCGTAGCTTTCATACCTGAAGACATCCTTGAGGGGACCCAGTCCCTTCCCTGGCCTCTGCCCCCAAGGTCCTACCACAGTGCCTCACTTGCAAAGTAGGCATTTGGTGGGCGTTTATGATGATTGCACAAGCCCTCTGACACTGCATCACCTCAGTTCCCCATCCCTGGCCTGGGGAGCCCTCAGCCTATAGCCATAACATTTGCCAGGTCCTCCTGGGCCCAGCAGGAAAACCTACAGGAGTGCAAGCAGGCACTCTACGAATAGGAGAAAAGGAGATTCAGAAACAAACCCAGGAAACTGACTGGGGCAGCCTTCACCCAACTCACAACAGGTCCGAAGAGTGAGTGGTAGAAAGTGAGAGATGGGACTCCCTAATATCACATTAAATTCAGGGTTTTCATTCAAAAAAAAAAAAAAGAAAGAAAAAAGAAAGAAAGGGAGAAAAGAAATGTGGCTTCTACGCTAGGCATGGAACTTTTAGGGCTTTTATAGTGGCATTAATCACCCCTATTAATACAAACATCATAAAAATGAAATTCCATATATATAAGCATTCACATTTATATAGCATAGTAATGTAACTTTTAAACATTTAATCTAGCATGTTTTGTTTTGATTTCTAAGAGTTTAAAATTTATAGATATTATCAACTGGGTCACTAAAATTAAGTTTGAATACTCTAAACATAATGTCTAAAATTTAAATTACATTTTAAGAGCCTCTACATAACATTTGTGACAGGTTATGAAGCTTTCAGTCAGTAAAACTTTTGAGATGTATGTAATGAAGAGTTACAGTAAAACATTAGCCAATCCCTATGAAAATAAATGTATTTCATGAACAGAATTACTTTAATTAAATCAACATTGTAGGGTAGTTTATAATGCTATAGATAAAGTTTAAAGCATGGGTTAAAGTAACTCTAAAACTTAAGCCCAAACTACTTGTTATTGCATATCTGATCTATAAAATTAATCTATAAAACGAATCTTTCAAACTTGTAGCAATCTTCTTTTCCTAGAAAGACAACTATTTGGCCTTTATGTAGGCTGAGATTCAGGATTAACATTATTTTAATAATACACCTCAGAAAAAGTATTTTCTTTGTAGAAATGAAAGAAAGGGGAGGCATGATATTCCATTTATCATATCAGAGAGTTATAAGTGGTTGGTTCATAGAAATGTCATTTCTTTATAAGTACTTAGCAAAATATGATAGCATGTACTTTAATCTGATGTGAAAGTTGATGAAATCAACATCATCTCCCGCCTCAGGTTTCTGCTTGCCTCCTACTGATTCAGTGGCATGTGTTATAATTTGTCCTCTATAAAGCTTTTGTTTCTTGGTCAATATGAAAATACATAATTTTCCATGCCTGTTCTCTCCTTAAGGAGCTTATCCTATATAATAAAAAGCTAATATGCAAGTCAATGGAATGGCGGAACAACTGGTTGCTATGATGTGCACTGACCACCAGGGGGCAGACGCTCAATGCAGGAGCTGCCCCCTGGTGGTCAGTGCGCTCCCACAGAGGGAGCACAGGTCAGTCAGGAACCCTGAGCCAGGCTCACAGCTGGTGAGTGTAGTGATGGCAGAGCCTCTCCTGCCTCCACAGCAGCACTAAGGATGTCCAACTGCCAGACATCCCACGAGGACTTCCTGACTGTGAGAGGGTGCAGGTTGGGCTGAGGGAACCCCCTGAGTGCATGAATTTTGTGCACTGGGCCGCTAGTATTTTAGATAAATGGTGAAAATCTAACCAAAAAAGTATTACCAATTTGTAGGTGCCTTAATAAAAAATAATGAAGCAAAAAGGAATGGTGAAGTGTTCACAAGAGGGCATCAAACTTCTTTATACATGAGGAAGTATTGGGGCCAAGTCTTAGAATATAACTATTAAATGTGTAAAAAGCAGTTTTCCTATAAATATTTCATTGCTGAACAGTATAAAGCATTAGCTATTTTAAGACCCAACTGAATAAATATTTGTAGAGTTATGTAAAATTCAATAAAGCTTTTAAACAAGATGTATTATTATATTTCCATCGATTCATCAGGGAAAAGATTAGAAAAATGTTTATTTTACTATTGTATTAGGCAAATATATTTTCTACCTGAATGATATAATCATGAAACATATATCCAGAACATTCATTCAATTTTTCACTCCATTTTGGGGGGAAAAATTATAGTAGGCCAAGCCACCAAGATTCTGAGGTTTATCTGTTGTAGCAACTAGCATTACTCTAATATACTACTTTGCAGGACTGTGAAGATTAATAAAAGCACCCACTTTAGTGCCTTAAAAGACTGTTACATGCATGTATCATTAGGGCCCCTCATTGCATTGTGTGCCTGTCTTCTGCATCACTGTCTATTCCTTCAGATGATCTTGAGGAGTCTGGAAATCAAATACTATTTATAGAGAGGAGCGTGAGAAGGTAACGGCCTGGGCCTTCTGATTCCTTAAGGAGTTTGGAGTTGTTATGCATTAACTTAATGCTGTGACCTTTGGCCCCTGGTCAGCAATTAGAAGTAGCTCTCATTAGGGCAAGTCCCTTTGATACCATTTGTGTGATGAAAATCATCTTTGAAGTATAATTAGAGTCAACACAATTGAATGCTCACTATGTACCTCCATGCTAAGCCCTCTACATGGACCAGCTCTTCAATCATCACACAAACTATGTGTAGGTGCTATTATTACCAAACCCATTTTACCGGAGCCTGAGGCACAGGGGTAGGAAGTGACCTGCACAAGGTACCCCAGCTACAAAGTGGAGTAAGGATTTGAAAGCAGCCCATCTCTCTCAAGCTTGTGTGCTCAGTTCTCAATAATAACAAGATAGTTGGGGCATGCTAAAATGATACCCCAAAAAGTACTTTAAAAAAAGAAAAATCCCATTATTTTAAATATACACTGATCCTTCCCCCAAGATTTTCCAACAAGAAATGAAAATGTGTCAATGCTACTTTATTCTTTTACAACTGAATATTTCAGTGAATATAGAGCAAGAGAATTATCTTTACATATTGTTCATAGGAAGAAATTTGACATTTGCCCCAAATAATTGCTGGGTTGTCTTATCTGATCCAGCTTCCCTTTGCCACTGAACTCTGGGGAAAAAAAGAAAGAAAGAAAACATACAACTCAGATGAAATCATTCTCAGAATTGAGATGAGACCATGGGCATGTTATTATATAGCATATTTTAAAATTATATCTCAATTTGACGTCATAAATGCCCTTAGTCGATACTTATAAGGTCTGTGCTGTATCTAATTAGACCATTAGGCCTGTGTGAGTGCTGTGGCCCTAGGGGACACCTTCCCCTTTTCACCTGGGCAGCTGTTACCCAGCATCTGGGCAGCTTTCTCAGGCCCCTGGGCCTACTGGGGCCCTGACCACGGCCAGCAGGTCAGGATCAGGTTCCAGGTGGGAAGATGCACAGCCTCCGCAGGACAGTGGCCTCATGGCCCTGGGACCACATCATCACGAGAGGCAGAGGAGACCTAGAGCTGCCCTTGTACAGGGATGTCTGCTTCCACAGGCCGAAGACCAGGAATCTCCCCAGATTGAAACTCCGGTCTCAGAGCATCATTGAATGGAAGGAATGGCCTTGTCTGGCTGTACTCTGGAATGTTCCCACTATAGGGAGCTTATGCCCTGCCCCAAGCATCCCAGGGTAGTTTTTTTCATCATTAGAAGAGCCAGGTGAGAATTCACAGAGAATCAGATGGGCCAAGTGGAGCTTCCAGCCCCTCATAGGCACAGCTGAAGACAGCTCCCTTGCAAAGAGCCAGCATGAAGTGAAGGCTGCAATGTTTGCCCAGGGCCAGCTGGAATGGGACTCTGTGGGGCTGAGAGCAGGAAGGGGATGGGGCAGAAGGTCCTCAAGAGTTCCACATATGCCAGAACCGGTTTGGCTCAGTGGATAGAGCGTTGGCCTGCAGACTCAAGGGTCCCAGGTTCGATTCCTGTCAAGGGCATGTACCTTGGTTGCGGGCACATCCCCAGTGGGGGGCATGAAGTGAAGGCTGCAATGTTTGCCCAGGGCCGGCTGGAATGGGACTCTGTGGGGCTGCGAGCAGGAAGGGGGATGGGGCAGAAGGTCCTCAAGAGTTCCACGTGGCTCTCCTTTCTTTGAACTATCACCCCTCTGGCTGCCTCTCCCTACCCCCTGTCAGACTCATAACATTTCCTTGGAGGTAAAAAGCTGTAATGGACTGACCTTGGTCTATCCTACTGGGTGTTCAGTGTTTCTTCCATTCCTTGGCTGAAAAAAAAAAAAAAGGAGCAACTGAGAAACATTGGAACAAAACTGCCTGGAACCTGTTTCTTGGTTTCAGATTCTTTCTTCATGAGCCCTAAGGCCTTCTTCTCCTAACTAAGGTGTCAGCAGCCTCCTGGGGGGCTCACTAGGTGAGCCTTAGCCCCGTCTCAGTCTGTAGGTCCTCTATGGCAGGGCTTCAAGACCCTAGCTGCTTAGACACTATCTGCACTCCACTACTCTAGCCCAGACACTGTCCCCCCTCCTGCACTCTACCCCTTAGCCTCTGTTTCTATGGCAGGACAGTCCTGAAGCTATTTGTCACAGGACTTCTCACCCTAAAGACATCATGGAGACCCACTGTTTCATAAAGTCCTTTCCAGAGAACAACTACTAATAGGTCATGCAGATTAAAAGGGTGTATGTGGGGTGGCATGGGGGTGAGAAGCATTTCCATAGACAAAACAGTTTGGGAAACAACATATGATAAAGTCAAGTTAAACAGGTTGTTTTCTGCCAGACACATTAGTGTGCATTGTAAACCTTCAGGAAGGTTGGGTGCAGTGTTTTCTAATCCGATTTGATCTTCACATAGTCTTAGCACCAATGGCCCACAGAATGCAGTTTGAGGGGTACAAGTCTGGCTGATTTGCACATTTTTCTGATGCAAACATTGAATATTTAGGGGTTGAAACAAAGTGAGTGATTGGCAGATCAAATACTAAGAGATAACTCTCTGGCTCCATGATCTTTGCAAGATGCTCAAGTCCCCTGGGAAGGAGGAAAGGATGGCACTAGACTCCTCTTGCCAGTGTGTTTTGGGGCTAGGTATCCAGACCTTCATGTTCAGAAACACAGACTCAAACTCTGGTTGGTCCTCGTGTCTGTCCATCACTAGAACTCCCACTTCCCACCCCTGTGTTCCCTGGTGCTCTCAGCCTGTGTCCTGATGGACCCTTTCCTTTACAAGCATTGACTTTGTAGGGGAAAACTTTGAGAGTCACTCCCTAACTAACGAGTTAGAGAGTCCACACAATTGTTCACCAGTTCATCGTGGGGCCCGCTCTGCTCATTCAGCAGGAGGGAATCAGGGTTAAAAACAGAGAAAACATGTTATACCCTGAATAGAAAAAATGGTCTTCTCCAGGTAGCAGCGTGATCCTGCAACATAAAAACACAAACCATTATGCAACCATGTTGTGCCCAAGGCCTCTCAAAGATGTCTATGACAGCAGTTTTCAAAGCATGGTCCCCAGTCCCAAAGCATCAATAACACTTGAGAACTTGTCAGAAATGCACATTCACAGGCCCCGACTGAATCTCCAGACTTTAACAAGGTCCCCAGATATCTTTAATGCACTGTCAATGTGGAGAAGTACAGGTATATAGGGTCCGTGCCACTTGCAGTACCTCTCCAAGTTGGTACAACTGGCATGTGGGCCCTGAGCCAGAGAAAGCCAATTCCAGGACAGATGGCCCCAGGTGACTCAGCCACAAGCCTGGAGATGAGATATTCACAGCCAGAGGACTGTCAAGGTGGCCCAACTCCAAGTGCTTCCCTGTCCTCTCGCAGATCTTTCTTGGGAGGTTGTGTTCTCCACAAGGTTTACATACCTTCTTGGTAAAGTCAAGTGCCACAGCCCCCGGATCCTGTGAAGGAAAAGACACAGGTTAACTTCACAGGAACCACATCCGAGAGGCCAGCTGTTATTCTGCTGGGATTCTGCACCTTCCTGTTCAAGGGCACAGCTGTGTGGCCAATTTCAATTTCCTGTTCCGGAAAGCAAGCATGCTTTCTTGATTGAGTTACCATTTGTGTCCTGGACAAGGTTATATTTGCTTGCTCTTCTCCACAGCCTCAACTTGAAACTGACCCCTGGTTTAGACACATGTCCCAGATAAGGCATTTCAGCTTCTTCAGCTTGTCTTTGCCCGTGAATCTGGCATACCACTGGAGGCAAGACCCAGCCTGGAGAGCTGCGTGCGATCAGATCAGAAAAACTGCTCCCTGTGCTTGGGGTGATCAACAGATTTCTCAGGAACTGAGCAGTTTCCTGGGGGTCTTGGGATTTTCAGAGCTAAAACCAGGAAAGTCCCGGGCATACTGGTTGCATTGGTCACCTGACTTGGGCTCACAGTGTTCAAAAGAAGTTTTCTTTTTGCTACCATGCAACAAACCTTGATGAAGATTTTGAGGTTCAGCTATTACTGAAACTGGCAATTTCTAAACTTAATTTTTAAAAATATATTTTAGTGATTTCAGAGAGGAAGGGAGAGGGAGAGAGAGATAGAAACATCAATGATGAGTGAGAATCATTGATTGGCTGACTCCTGCACGCCCCCTATTAGGGATCGAGCCTGCAACCCAAGCATGTGCCCTTGGCCGGAATCGAACCCGGGACCCTTCAGTCCGCAGGCTGAGGCTCTATCCATTGAGCCAAATCAGCTAGGGCCTTAATTTTTTTTCTTAAGAAAACAAAAACAAAGCTCTGAGGTATGGACAAAAGGACAGGTGGGGCAATGGAAAGCAGAGGGCCACCAAGGCAAATGTTCATGTCAAGAGAAAGAAGAAGGGACAGGAAAAGAGGCCGACAACACAAAAGCTAAAACAAACGGGAAAAAAATGTGGATGAAGCCCTGGCCAGTTTGGCTCAGTGGATAGAGTGCAGGCTGGCCACTGAAGGGCCCGTTCGGTTCCAATCAAGGGCACATACCTCGGTTGCAGGCTCAATCTCTGGCCCTGATGAGGGGCTCATGGGGGAGGCAACCAATCAATGTGTCTCTCTTGCATGAATGTTTGTCTCTCCCCCTCCCTTCCACTCTCTCTAAAAAGCCTCCGGTGAGGATTAACAATAACAACAACAATTTCAACAACAACAAAAATGTGGATGAAGAGTTCAGCAGGAGAGGACGGAGCCATGAGGGGCCAGTGGACGTCGCCAGTGGAGGAGACTGTGGCTGGGGGAGGTTAAGTAACTTGTGTAAGGTCAATGGGCCAGAGCTCCCTGCCGCAGGGAGACACAGATTTAAGGAGAGAATGCAAGTGAGTTCCAAGGCGAAGACACGCATATACCCTGATTAATGTACCTTTACCGGCATGAAATATGGCGGAAGAAAAAAAAGCACATACGCGCTGTAGAAATCTCTTCATCTTCCCATTGGCGAGCTTGGCGGCCAGCCGCGTGACAGGGCGCGCCGGAGAAAACTGCAACAGATGGGCGCTGTGAGGCTGCAGGCAGCGGAGCCAGAGCTCAGCGTTCTTCGCATCCTTTCCACTCACTCCCTTACAAATGGGTTTAATTTTCAGAGTAATATCATTTCCGAGCCTGAGCTTGAAATTTTATGTTTTCAATAAAGACTCGCCTGCTTGGAGAGCAGGTTTCAATTCCAACACATCACTTCAAAATATTCCCTTAGGATAAACCAGACTTTTATCTGCATTGACCCCAAGTTTTCCGAGCTTCTGGGGTGGAGTGCATTGTTCCAAAGAAGCATCTCCACGCAGATCCTTCTGCCCTCCAGGTGCGCTCTCCTAATCTAAGGGACCAACTGGGAGGGCTGCTCCCTGACCCTCTCTCCCCGATGCAGTTATTTCCCCAGACTTCTTGTCTGTGACTGCCCGCGGGCACTCAGACACACACCTGTGTCTTATCTAGTCTTTCTGAGTCCTCCTGAGAAGTCTGACTCAGAGTAAAGGTTAATTTGTGTCACGGACCATGTTTATCCTTCCCCTTCCATTGCCCCCTGCAGTGCCCATGGCCTTTCTTGAGAAAATCCCCATCATACCTTGATTCCCATTCCCAAACCTGTACTACGCATGACTCTTTGCCTCTTAGGGGGAAAAGTACTTTGCTGGGTCTTTTAAGGGTCTTCTTGAAGACTTGGAAAGCCTTGCTTACATAAACAAGTGACTTTCTAATGGTCAAATTTCAGTTGTGTCAGGGCACCTGAATTAATTTTATTCTATGATTCTAGTAATTCTCAAATCATACCCTGCAGAAATTCACTTACACAACCTGTACCTGAGGGTAACTCAAGTTTATGCTAATAAAGTTAGAGGGGATGTTTATTATTGGAATAGCACCCACATATTGTGACAGTTATGAAATAAGAACAGCCATGGACCACTATTGGGGGGTATGGTGCTTTACACTTCACAAAACACTTTTCATAATTTAAGAACAGAGGGTAATATGGAACAATATAATAGAGTTCCACTTGTCAGTTTTTGTACATCTGTTTAAGTGCATAATGAGAGTTATTTCTTATTTTTCCTTTTCTATAAGTTATTCTCTGTCTTTTTAGATCTGTCAGCCTCCTCCCACTCCAACCTAGGGAGGGAGACAGGTAGTCCCTACCGGCCTGGGGAAAGGCATCTGGGAAGCTGTTACACAGAGAGAGTCTAAGACCTTCGGCTGATCTGCACGTATTAATTAGGAAGGAATAAAGGCATGCAGAGGGGAGGGACTTTTACAAAGATGATTACAATACAATACTGACCCCAGTTTTAACTGGCTGTGTTGGCTCCCGAGTTCTGGAGTAGTCAAATAAAAACTGAATAAGAAAAAAAGGTTCATTTTAGCATTGTGTCACTTGCTACAAAGTAGAAGTTGCATGCCCTTGCTACTGGGCTGGGTGGTACTCACCCTTTTGTCTATGTCTTGATTATCCTGGAAAGAGAATTGTGAGGGCAAGTTACATGGAATTTTACTGTGGCAGGTAACTGACAAAGTTTTCAGTATCTAAGTTACACAATGAAATATATAGGATGTACCTTAATATTATGAAATAAATTGCCAAGCTAAAAAGAAATTAATTACATAAACTAAGATTATACTGATGCAGGATATTATGAAAAACAAAGTTGACAGCAATACACCATCATTTTAAAACTTAATCTCATTTTACCTTTTCAAGCTTCAGGGGAAAACATACTCTATGATGTATAGAAGAGATACCAGAATCTATACCCAGATAACCACCTGATATAGAATTGGAACAAAATAATGATTGTAATTTTTAATTTGCTGCTGGGTATATCCTAGAATTCAGCTTTTTTAATGGTTGGCTCCAATTGACCAAACTTTTTTCCCTAAAACATTCAACACGAATCTTCACTGTCCTTGCACATAGTTTTTCATTTCTAAGTCCTTGTTAGAGCACCACCTGCCCTTGTTTGCATAGATGACAAACTGGAAAAAGGTGTGTGGGCAGCATATTCCACTCAAGGATGCTGTGATGAAGGGTCTCACAAAATGATAGCACAGGATTCCATGTCTGTATTTTATAAAATTGCTAGAGATGATTACTGTGAAAGCACTTTTAAATTTGTTGATCTGGCTGCTATTGATCATTCACATCTCATTCACATTAAAACATTATGGAATCAGCTTAAACTCCATTAACACAGAAATAAAAAGTTTTTAACAACACTTCTAATTTTGTTGCTCTGACTATGATTACCTCTCCCTGTAAACTTTGTGGAGAGTTTCTGCAGCAGCCAATATCTATGCAGTCTCTCTCTCTCTCTCTGTCATGTACATACATGCACATACATACATATGGGCACAGACACACACTACAGGGGGTGGGCAAAGTAGGTTTGCAGTTGTTCATATGGAAAATAATACACTTAATAAAAATATAAGAATAGACTCTGTGTTTCATGTACTTCCAACTGTAAACCTACTTTGCCCTCCCCATAGAATTCCAACATCATTAATAGCAGAGGTTCTGTAGTGAGTTCCTCTATTTCCTTATAATTATAATTTCTAAAATTTACCATTTACTATTTTTATAGCTTTTGGTCTCCTTGTCAGCATCTGTTTGCTGTGTGTGTGTGTGTGTGTGTGTGTGTGTGTGTGTGTGTGTGTGTTCTGAAAACGTACTGGGTGAACAATTGTGTGGTTTTTTTGTACCATGTTTATCAACTTTTTACCATTACCTTTCAGACCAAAAAACAAAAAGAAATACAAAGATGTTTTTTCAGTTGCTAAACACCACTCTCAACATTTTATATGAACCTTCCTTTCTTTTTTTTTTACTCTAAAAAGAAAAATGTTTAAATGTACTTATCTAAATTATCTATTTCCCTACAATGCAAGTTCCATGAGAACAGGTAGTTTTGTCTGTTTTGATCACCACTGTATATCCTTAGCACCTGGCACATGGCGTGCTTTCAATAAGTACCTTTTCAAAGGGATGAATAGTAGGGCTGTGTTCATAAGAATCTGTTGCCCCCTTTCCTGTCTAAATTCTTCTGATTCCACATAGTGACCAGAAGCACAAAACACACAGAGTGTTACAGTTTGCAGATTGTGATGCTTTCTGAGTGGCCTTGTTATGAAAGTTCCCTAGAGACACAGACCTGGACTCTCCCGGAGACCAGCGCAAGTCATGCGGACACTGGGTAGGAGAGGAGACCAAAGCCCAGGAGAGGAAGTGACACGTTGAAAGATACACTTCAAGGCAGAAGAGCTGCAGTCTCTCTATTAATAGATTTAAAATATGGGTAGTTGTATTCACCGAGCAATGCCTTACTCTTTTGCGATTGGAAACAAGGAACAGGATCAGCTATGGGAAAATGCAGACAATGAAGGAAATACATCCAAGTGCACCTTTGCATCTGGGGAATCACACAACCCAATTTAATACGGAAGGTAGCACGTGTGACAGCCACACTTCTACTTCCTGTGCTTGTGAAGGGGCACCCCCACAGCCTTGGTGTGAGTGAGGGGTAAGGAGCCCTTTTGGTGTGAGTAAGAGGCAGTGGCAAGGAGATGGAGAACTCTCTCACCCTGGATTTTTGCTCTGGGTGTCAAGGTTGTAATGATTAGTTCTAAAAGGTGACAATTGTCTTCAAACATACGCATAATGGTAAACTGAAAATGAGAAGAGATGGGCACGATATACTCATGAAGTTTAAGAGAGAAACTGATGTTTAAGTCTTGAAGAATGGAAATTCATTTAATCAAGAATCAATGGGGGGGGGGAATAAGAATCAATATGGGGAAAGGGAACATCTGTAATACCTTCAACAATAAAGATAAATGAAAAAAAGAAACAATGATAACAGCTAGCACTTAAGTGCTGTCACTTTCTATCTTGTAGACACTGTTGAAAAGACTTCACAAATATTAAAACAATTTAAGTGAACATTACTTACATAATATTGTGAGGCTATTACAGCTATTATTCCCATATTACAGATGGTGAAACTGAGACACACAGCAATTAAGACACCTACTAAGGTTAAATAGATGTGGGTTTTGAGCCCAGGTACTTTGGCTTTAGAGTCTGGGATATTAACCGGCAAAGGAGGCAAAGGCATTTTTGGCTAAGGGAAAGTCTGTGCGAAGACATAAGGGCCCGGTGCCTGTGGGAAATAGTAAGAAGTTCATTGTGGCTGGAGCCTGTGGGAAATAGTAAGAAGTTCATTGTGGCTGGAGCACGGGATACTGTGAGTTAGGAGAGGTAGAGGAGGAAGAGATGTAGCTCAAAGTAAAAACATGTAGTCTATGCTAAGAATCATGGACTCTTCCTTGATACCACCCTCTTGTACTTTAGAATAAATCAACATTCACTTTGTACCCACTGAAATATTTCTGTTGTGGCTACTATAGTTATTCCTAGGTCCTTTACATGAAATCTATTGTTTTGGAGAACTGTCAAATCACAGTGTATCAATTTGTAATTCATGTTATGCTATATCACAACATATTCAATTAATGTAATTAGATATGCATATGTGATTATGGTCATTGTAAGAATGCAGATGAACTACAAATATCTTACAGTAAATTATTTAAGAGATTCAGTTGTTATTTCCTAAAACTATATTCTTATACAAACACACATAAAATTCTCCTGTAGATAGCAAAATAGTGCAGTTATTACAGATATCAATTATGGCATAAACATGTTATAACTAAAATTTATCATATGTATATTAGGGTGGCTTTTTTACCTTAGGTGGCCTAGAAAGAGTTGCCCAATATGCCAGCCGCTAAAAAATGAGGAAAATGAATCAAAGTTAAGTATAAATTCATTAGTCCATAGCATTCTATTACAACACATATAATTCTAAAATTGTCCCAATTAATGAACCCTGTATTATCTTCTCACACAGTGACAATAAAGTTCAACACAATTCTCAGGATGCCTTAAACGAGGCCATGAAAATGACAACAGTGAGTCCTGCTGCAGCCAAGAATCTGTTCTTAAAATAGTTTTAAGTGAACATTACCCACATGATATTTTCAAGGCCAAGACTAAATAAAAACCTCACATTACTGAACAACAGTGTACCTCCAGCTGCACAATATCCAAGCCATCTGGAGAATCATCTGAAGGTTGAATATATCCTATTGTGAGAAATCATAAAAATATCAATTAGGAGAAAATAAGTCATAGCATGAACTTTTAAATCTTTACCATGAAAAACATACAGAGATTCTAAAATGCAATGCCGTTAAAAAGGACTGACAAAGAAAACACACTCTACCACTAGATTTGCACCAAAATTAATTGAAATAGCTCAATTTTCTATTTATCAGGAGTTAACAGTACAAGAATTATCAAGTCAGGAAAAAGGGCAAAATGCCTAGGCAACAACTTAATTTATATTTTGATGGAATTTATGAAGATGAAATACCAGGAAACAGTGTCAAGTATGTGCATCGAAATCACTCTTGGAACATTTAAGAAATATGGATGTCTGGCTCTGTGCTTCATTAGACTCTTCAGGGGTAGGGTTGTGGGAAAGGTTGCTACCAACATGCAGATGGACCCTGTGCCAGTCAACCTGTATCTGACCTAAATGAAGTCTTCGTCCCATTTTCACATGATACGACACTTGGAGGAATAGCTAATACTGCAATGGGAAGAATCAACTAAATAGGTCAAAACTAACCAGCTGAAATTAAGTGGGATAAATACAAAACTCCGAACTTAGATTTTTAAATGTGAGAAAAGAAATATCTGGCCCAAGAGTAGAAAATATATTTTTAAATGAAAATTGATATTTTGCTCCCTGAAATCTCCTATGAGTCAAGAAAAGGCTAAAAACTAAGGCAATCTTGTGCTATATTCAAATAATAGTGTCCAAACCTTGAAAGATAATAGTCCTAGTTGAAATAGTAAGATGTGTGGTAGAATAAAATGAGCCAAACATCGTTTTCTTTGACAAAGAGAAAAATTAGGAAGCATATGTTAACTACCTCCAAATATATTGAGAACTGTCCTAAGAGTTAGTAGACTTATTCTGTACATCCCCAAAGGAAAGAGCTAGGGTTAGTGGTTAGAAGTTACATGTGATCAGATTTCAGTTTAGTGTAAAGAAGTTCTTGATGGTTGGTGCCATTCAAAAATGCAATTAATTCAAACCAGTCCTATAAAGAGTTATTAATCAGTTTTGTGTTAACAATACAACCACAAAGACCATAAGGACCATATCCTCAGGGAACATGAAGTCAAATAGAAAAATGAAGGAGGTGAATATAAATATAAACAGATATATAAAAGACAACAAATTTACAAAAGTGTAACAGAAACAATATTCTATTGGAGCCCAAAGGAGGCAGCTACTGGCTATCTCAGGCTGGTTGTGCATTGGGTTTTACTGAAAGTAATCACATAGGAAAATCATAGAGGAAATCCCTGTTCTCCATGAGAGGCTAATCAAATGACTTTCATAGTTCCTTGAAATACTTAGGTTTTGTGATTATACGACATGATTAAAAAACACACATACTGTTTGAAATATATTTTCTGTTTACATATATTTTCAAAGATTTCTACTCCCCTAAATCAAAACTCTAAACAGTTGTGTTTACAACCCAGCTGTTCTGCCACCACATCCTTCCCTGCGCCTACGGAGGGTTACCTGAGATGGGTAATGGATTCAGACTACTGACCCCATACAAATGCACTGGTTCCCTACAAACCACTGGTTCTAGAAGTTAATGAAGCGACTCCAGTCAGCACCTCGGACAACTCCTCAACCTGGAAGCTGTGGGACCTCCGCTGGGAGTCCACAAGGCTATGAAAAGATTCCCTTTTCCTGTGCGCACTCCTACCCCACCCCTCTCCAACTGCCCCAGTCTCCGGTCTGTAATCTCAATTCTACAGTCTCTAGTTCTGTTCAGAATTCTGGGAGCACAAATGGCTAAGAAGTTGGGATTTCCCCAAGTCGTATGCCTCGCAGGCTCAGCGGGCACATCCTCAGGACAGCGGCAGGAGCTGTGTGAGACCGTTCAACGGGGGAAAGTTGCCTGCTTTAGTAAAAGGCTGTGATATCTAGCTCTGTCCACCCTCTCTTAGAGGTTAGAGACAAACGAGAAGCCAGAAATTGAAAGGGTGGAAATAGGGGCAGGTGGGGGAATAAAGTTTGCCTCCCTCCAGAAGGATCAAGGAGCATCTCAGTCTTTCTTAGAGCTCAGGCCAGCCAGGGTCTGATGAAGGGGTCCCCTTACCTGAGGAGGGATGCTGTAGCAGGCAGAAGCAAAAGATGGCCAAGATGGAAGGGAATTGGGGAAGATACTTCATCTTTAAAATCTGGTTGCTCTTTGATGGCCACAGATGTGTCCTGCTCGGACAAGACTCGAGCGTTTTCTGAAGTTCAGCAGGTACAGGCACCCTCTGCTCTGTGTCTGATAAGCCCAGTAATGCCCGGAGCCCATTGGCTAAGCACCAATCAGCTTTGCGCAGGAGGACCCCGGCTTTCTCATAAATGTCATGCTGGGCTCTTATTTGGGAAATAATATCCTCCTGGTGTTGGCATTGTAGAGAGGCATCCTTTTAAATCCAGCAATAAAAACAAAAAGTGAGGAATCATAATTGTTATTCTATACTGGTTTGAGAAACATTACTGACTCTCAAGGAAGGCTTTTTCTCTTTTTTAAATCAAAGATCTGGACATAAATCTATAAACTCTTGCATGATCAAGTCTTGTTCCTGAGGAAGCTGTTTCTTTTCCATCACTAACAAAGGATGTTTTGTAGTCTTTGGTGCATCTGAGAACAAAATTTGGAGTCCAGCATATAACAAGAAACTAAAAAGTTCAATTATGTAAGGTTCTTTTAAAGAAATCATGGTTGAAAATCAGACTCTTTAAGGTTTCTCCAGATTCATTTATATAAGCAAGTTAAATATGACCTGTTAAGGTCAGTATTCAAGAAAACATGACAATGTTTAATCATCATAATAATACTCTACCTACTAAGATTTTGTCTGTTTTAGACACTTCACATAGGTTATTTCATGTAATTCTCACAGAAAATCCATAAGGACTATAGTATTAGGCTAATTTTATTAATGGGAAAACTGAGCCTTGGAAAGATGAAGGAACTTGCCAAGGTCACCAACCCATCAAGAATGCAGATGAGGAATTTGGACCCAAGGATGCAGCCATGTCTTTAAGAGTGTGGGATAATAGGTAGGTGCTGTTGTTGTTGTTGTTGTTGTTTTCTAAAAAGAGTCCCCTTAAGAATAGATATGGGAGATTGAAAATGGCAGCAGGGTAGGAGGATGCTGCATGGACATGCTCCCAGGAACAAGCTGCAATTACAACCGAAATACAGAAAGGCTTCCTGAATAATCAAGGGAAAACTCACAGGAGAGAACCCTGGTACCCAAGGACTGAAGGTGGAGCTGGCATAGAGACTGGTAAGAGGGGTGGAGGCATGAAAGGGCTGGCCGGGCACCCACAGACAGCAACTGAAGTCCCAAAGAGATATCTCAGCTGTTGGGGCGGGGGGGGGGTGCCACTGAGAACTCTGGGATCTAATCCCCAAGCAGGGCTCCCCAGCAGAGAGCACCAAACTGAGGAGGGTACCCACATAACATCTAGCTGTGAAAAGCAGTGGGGTGCTGTCTGCCAGGGAGTGGCAGCTGAAAGTACGGGCACCCTCTTAAAGGGCCAATGCACAAACATTCCCTGTGGAGCCACCCACCTTGTGCTCTGGCAGAGGGAGGGTGAAGTGGACTAGAGCTGTGAGAGCAGAACCCAGGTCTGGGGACTTGGGGGATAGAGCTCGGAAGGCAGACATTCCAAGTGTCCTAGGCTAATTCATTCCCTCACACAGCAGAGGACATCTTTCCCACATAGACATCTGCCTTGCCTGGGGGGAAAACAGTCAACACAACCTATTGAAAATACATTGCCCTGAGGCCACTTAAGAGATTAAAAGTAACAATTAGCAGAAGCAAATGCCCCACCCTGTTGAAAAAACTCTCACCACACTTAAGAACAATTGCCTGGAGGCAATTCAAGTCAGAATCCTATTAGTCTGACTCTGGAGGCAGTCTCTGGAGGCTTTGAGTCTTTGCCTGATCCAATTAGTCAGAAACAGCCTCTAACACTGTCATGCACTAGAGACTGAGAGATGTAGAGGATTTACCTAAAACATAGTCACAAACCCAAATAGACAACCAAAATGAGGAAACAACTCCCAAATGAAAGAACTAGAGAATTCTCCAGAAGAAGAGATAAATGAAGCAGAGATAAGAAAGCTATCTGAAACAGAGTTCAGAGTAATGATGGTAAAAACGCTCAACAGTTTGAAAAAAGATATAGTAACTATGAAAAAAAAGAACAGTCTGAGATAAAGAATGACATAACACAAATAAAGAACACATTGGAAGGAATACACAGCAGATTAGGGGAAGCTGAGGATCAAATCAGTGAATTAGAAGACAGAGTTGAAAATATCACACAATCAGAGAACCAAAAAGAAAAAACAATTAAAAAACAGGAGGACAGCTTAAGGGAGCTGTGGGACAACGTGAAACGTAACAATATTAGAATAGTAGGTGTGCCAGAAGAGGCAGAAAGGGAGAAAAGAAAAGAAAAGGTGTTTGAAGAAATAATGGTAGAAAATTTCCCTAACCTGGTAAAGGAAAAAGTTACACAAGTTCAGGAGGCACAGAGAACCCCAAACAAGAAGAGCCCAAACAGACCTATGCCCAGACACATCATAGTTAAAGTGCCAAAAATTAAAGACAAAGAGAGAATCTTAAAGGCAGCAAGAGAAAAGAAAACTGTTACCTACAAAGGAGTTCCCATAAGGCTGACACTTGATTTCTCATCAGAAACTCTATAAGCCAGAAGGGAATGACATGAAGTACTCAAGGTAATGGAAAGCAAGGATCTGAGAACAAGATTACTATATCCAGCAAGGCTATCATTCAAAATAGATGGTCAAATAAAGAGCTTTCCAGACAAAAAAAAACAAAACAAAAAACAAACAAACAAAAAAACAACTAAAGGAGTTCATCACCACCAAGCCAGCATTACAAGAAATGTTAAAGGGATTGCTGTAAGGGATTGACGAGAAGAAGAAACACAGAGAGAAACCTCGCCATAAAGAATTAAAATGGCTATAAATAAGTACCTCTCGATAATAACCCTAAATGTAAATGGATTAAATGCTCCAATCAAAAGGTGTAGAGTAGCTGAATGGATAAAAAAACATGACCCAACTATATGCTGTCTAATAGAAACCCCCCTCAAAACAAAAGACAGGAGGAGAAACCAAGATGGTGGCATAGGTAAACACCGGAGATTGCTGCCTCACACAACCACTTCAAAAATACAGCTAAAAGACATAACAGAATTATCCAGAACCACAGGAAGGCTGGCTGAGTGGAATTTCTACAACTAGAAGGAAAGAGAAAAGCATACCGAGACTCAGAGGAGGTGCGGTGCTAAAGTAAATACAAAGGTGCGGAGGTGCATGTGGAGAGGGCTGGCGGCTGAGGTCACGATTGTCTTTTTCAATCGGGAGGGAGTCTCAAGCTCTGAGCTCCAGTTCTGGGCCAGTCTCTGGGGACCCAGACTCATACGGGAGAAACGGGAATGTCTGGCATCGGTCGGAACTCGAGGGCAGCTTTCTCTTGGAGGCACTCGTGGCGATTGCCAGGACCTCTGAAGGCAGGACTGAGAGCAGCTATACTGCTCGCTCGCTCGCTCGCTCGCTCGGCCCACCCTGTTGATCCCCTGGGACCCCGCCCCGCCCAAGCCCTGCACGGAGGCTTTTGCATATGAAAGGCCTGGCCCTTTGTAATCTGAAAATAACTTAACGAACTGCAGCTGCCCCAAGGCCCCAGGGCAACTTGCATTGCTTAACAGCTGGCTTCTGCTGGTAGCCTCAGGCAAAGGCTACATTAGCACCGCCTTAGATCCAAGAGCCAGTGTACCCAGTGGTCAGAGTGGGACCATCCAATTACAACTCTTCAGATCTATAAGGGACACACTCAGGGGGCAAACTCAGTGAGCACCAAAGCCTCACTGAAGCAAGTCTTGCCCCATAAGGGTGTCTTCAGCACAGAAGTTCTCCCACTGTAGACACAGCTGATTCTCACAGCCAATTGGCCTGGAGGTCAAATCCTCCCAGTGTTAACTACAACAATCAAGGCTTAACTACAACAAAACTGTGCACAAAGCCCACAAGGGGGTGCACCAAGAGTGTCTACCTCAGGTAATTGGGACACTTAGCACAGAAAGCCACTCTATCAACACAGCGAAGCATAAAAAATGCCGAGACAAAGAAATAGTACACAAATGACAGAAATGGAGGAAAGCAAACTACTGGATATAGAGTTCAAAACCACACTTTTTAGGTTTTTCAAGAATTTTCTAGGAACTGCCGATAAATGTAGTGAGATCCTCAAGAAATCTAGTGAGACCCTCGATGTTGTGATAAAAAACCAACTAGAAATTAAGCATACACTGACTGAAATAAAGAATATTATACAGACTCTCAACAGCAGACCAGAGGATCGCAAGAATCAAGTCAAAGATTTGAAATACGAAGAAGCAAAAAACACCCAACCGGAAAAGCAAAATGAAAAAAGAATCCAAAAATACGAAGCTAGTGTAAGGAGCCTCTGGGACAGCTTCAAGCACACCAACATCTGAATTATAGGGGTGCCAGAAGAAGAGAGAGAGCAAGATATTGAAAACCTATTTGAAGAAATAATGACAGAAAACTTCCCCTACCTGGTGAAAGAAATAGACTTACAAGTCCAGGAAGTGCATAGAACCCCAAACAAAAGGAATCCAAAGAGGACCAAACTAAGACACATCATATTAAAATGCCAAGAGCAAAAGACAAAGAGAGAATCTTAAAAGCAGCAAGAGAAAGAAAGTCAGTTACCTACACAGGAGTACCCATATGACTGTCAGCTGATTTCTCAACAGAAACTTTGCAGGCCAGAAGGGAGTGGCAAGAAATATTCAAAGTGATCAATGCCAAGAACCTACAACCAAGATTACTTTATCCAGCAAAGCTATCATTCAGAAGTGAAGGTCAGATAAAGAGCTTCACAGATAAGAAAAAGGTAAAGGAGTTCATCACCACCAAACCAGTATTATATGAAATGCTGAAAGGTATCCTTTAAGAAGAGGAAGAAGAAAAAGGTAAAGATACAAATTATGAACAACAAAAACACATGTATCAACAAGTCAATCTAAAAATCAAGTGAATAAATAATCTGATGAACAGTATGGACTGGTGATTATAATAGAATCAGGGTCATAGAAAGGGAATGGACTGACTATTCTTGGCGGGGAAAGGGGTGTGGGGAGTTCGGGAAGAGATTGGACAATAATCGTGCACCTATGGATGAGGACAGTGGGTG